GGTTTTATTTATTTATTTGACACAGAGAGACACAGCGAGAGAGGGAACACAAGCAGGGGGAGTGGGAGAGGGAGAAGCAGGCTTCCCGCAGGGAGCCGTATGTGGGGCTTGATCCCAGGACCCTGGGACCATGACCTGAGCCGAAGGCAGATGCTTAATGACTGAGCCATCCAGGCGCCCCTAACTTTGTTATTTTAAATGATTTTTTTCCTCTATTCAATTTTCTTTCTGATTATAGCTGTCATCCAGGGAAAGGAGCTTCTTATTGAACTCTTAAATTCTAATAGCTTCTCAGTTAATTCTCTTGGGTTTTGTATATAGAAAAATCACATAACCTGCAAATAATGGTCATTTTGAATCCTTCATTCCAACATTTACCCTTTGGTTTCTTTTTCCAGTTTTCTCACTGCATCCATTAGAACCCTCAGAAAAAATGTTTAATAATAGATTAGAGAGTAATCGTCCTTGTCTTGTTTCTGACTTTAATAGAAATCCTTTCCCACAAGAGTTTGAGTTCGTATCATGTTGAGGAAGTATCTTTTTATTCTAGTTCAATATGGGTTCTTCTCAGAAATGGATGTTGAATTTTATAAAATGCATTTGGGTCATTTATTGATTTCTCTTTCTTTGAACTATTGCTTTGATGAATTATATTAACAGATTTCTGAACATTGAACTCTTTTTTCATTCGTGAAATCAGTCATTCCTGCTCTTGATGCATCCTTTTGAAAATACTCTTCTAGATTTGATTTGCTAGACTTTTATTCAGGATTTGCATATTCATACATGAGATTGGTCAGAAATTCACTTTTTGGGCAGTCTTCATTTAGTATTGGTTTTAAGGTTATAATTTCATAAGATAAATCAAGATGATCCCCATCCTTCTCTTTGTCCTGATAGAATTTAAATAAGATAGGAAGTCTCTCTTCCTTGGAGGTTTATTGCTTACTTGTAAAGCCATCCAGATCTGGAACATTTTTTATAACATTATTTTTCTCAGTTTCATCTAGGGTTTTTAAAAAATTTATTTTGCTGCTTGAGTAAATTTTGATCATATGTTTTAAATAAATAATACATTTCATGGAGATTTTCAAAATTATTAGTGATTTACAGTATTATTTCTATCATTTAAACTTTCTGCTGTGAATGAGTAGACATCCCATTCTCATTCCTGGTGTTGTACCTTCCCGTTTTCTTTTCTGGCAATATTTTTTTTTTATTATGTGATGTTAATCACCATACATTACGTCATTAGTTTTTGATTATTCCCATTTTCTTTTATGCCAATCCAGATGTTGGTTTATTCATAGATCTTCTCACATAAGCCAATTCTTGGATTTCTATATTAGTTCTACTAATTTTCTAGTTTCCTGATTCATTGATCTTGTTTTTCTATTCACTAATTCTTTTCCATAACTTTCCTTTGGTTTATTTTGTTATTTTTATGTTTTCTAGAGTAGAATAAAATGGATGCTTTATTTTCATATTTAATTGAATAACAAAGACATTTTAGACTATGATTTTTTTTCCCTCTGAGTGTAAGTTTCATCTTATTCCATGCATTTTGACACACTATATCCTTTATGGTTAATTTCTAGATAGTTTGCAGTTGCTGTTTTGATTTTATTTTTATTCTAAGAACTATCTGGAAGTGTGTTTTCTCATTTCCAAGTGATTGAATTTGTAATGTTTTAAGGGTTTGTTGATAACATCTAGTTTGATTGCATTGTGTTTGGAAAATGTGACCTATTTAATGTCTATGTTGAGGATTTATTGAGATTTTCTCTGTGGCCTAATAATATCATTTTTGAATGATATGTAGGCAGAGACTCTATCTCCAGTGCATAGTATTTCATCTGTATCTTCATTTATTTATTTTATTTTGTAAAAAATGAGAGTCGTGTTGTCTTCCACTGGATATTTAATTAGTGTTCATTTCTCTTCGTATTTCTGGTAGCTTTTGCTTTGTATCTTGATGAAATGTTATTCAAAGCGTAAATGTTCTTTATAGCTATAGCTTCATGTTGGATTATATGTTTAATTCATGTATAATGACCTCCACAGTGGCCCCTCCCAACCATGGCCCCTGCTGCCTGGCTTTGTCTAGGGGGGCGTATGCTTTTGCTTTGCCTCCCTCCTTGCTGCCAGGGGTGAGTATTCCAAGGGAATATGGCTTTCCCTGATTTCTACTTTGATGATATTATGACCTCTGTTTATTTTTTTCTTTATATTTGCTGGGCATACTTCTGATGATTCTTCTCTTTTTACCTGCTTCATGTCACTTTATTTTAGTGTTGTTTGTTGGTAACCCTCCTATAGCATTGTCTCCCGGCATCTCTTGCTATAGCAGAGAAATCTGAAACAGCCGGGGGTTTTTTCGTTCCTTTGTAGGTAACCAACATTTTTTTTGGTAGATGTTTGTGCATTTTCCCCCTTATCCTTGTATTTCAGAAATGTGCCAGGAAGCATATAATTGTAGGCTTTTTCTCTTTATGGACTTTTTCCTGTGGAATGTAGTAAATTCTTATAATTTATTTACACAGGTCTGTTTCTCAGTTCAGAAATGTTTTCTGTTATGTGAGTGCTGATTATTTATATGCCAGCTCTCTGGTCTTTATCTCCTTTAGCTATCCTATTCTTTCTCATCGTTTTCATGTCTCTGTCCTTATACTTTTTCTTTTGAAAGAGATATAGAGCTGACCAGCATTCCCACTGCCTCACCGACCAGCGTCTGTCAGGAAGACAGTTGGATGTCTGAAAATCTGATTAGGGCATGTCCAGGGTATCTGAGTCAGGGAATGTGGAGAGGGGAAGTTCCAAGAGTCATGAGTTCAAGTGCAGATAGGTTGTTCTTTGTCCAGCTCCATTTGCCATAGAATTTTGTGGTTGTTTTGTGTTTTTATTTTAGTTTCTTTTTTTGCAATCCTGTGTCCTTCAGTCTTAGCTTTCCTGGGGGCGGTTGGGGAGTTTTCATCTTTTTCTGTGTTTTCTTAGGTCCCTTGAGTAAATGACTTGGTTAGATCTGAGTCATAAACCTGGCGTTCAGTCATCTTAACTTATAAGCATTCTTTCTCCTAAAACCCTGAGAGCAGAGGCTCTGGGGTGCTCGTGGAGCCTTCTGATCTCTTCTCCCACCCTGGGTCTGCTGGTGGGGTAATCCTTACAGCAAAGCTCCACAGAGTGGGAGAGGGGGACACTGATACAGGACACAAAGGATGGGATGGCATGTTTTTAGACCTATTCTGGCCTCCTTGCCATCCCTGGGATTCCCTAGTTATTTGTAAGAGAAGGAATTAAATCTGGGTCTGAAGACCCTCTCCCAACAATATCTCCTCCTGCCCGGCTTTGTCTGGTGGGCTTATGCTTTTGATATGCCTTCCTTCTTGCTACTAGGGATGAAGTAAAGAGGTAATTGCTTGTCTGGGGAATGAACAGAGAGGAGGAAGGGATACCAGAATGGCCAATTCCAATGAGAAATTGTTGACTTTGGAATTTCGTCGTTGTTCTTTCTGCCAGTTCCACTGAGCCTTTGGACCACTTCTTCCTCTGTCAACTATAGTTCCTGGACACATGCCCTGGAGGTATCCCTCCTCTGGTGGGCACAAGCTTTTTGGGTTTATATTCCTCACATGGGTGTTTCGAGGTTTGCTCTGCTTGCTTTATGTAGGCCCAACAGCACCTTTGTAGGTCCACCTTCGCCTTTGTAGACCATCTCATCATTTCAGCTAATGGCAAACCTGATGCAGGACAGATATCACAGTGTGTAATAGCAAGTTTATTGAGATGGTGGAAGCTTCTAAAAGGCATTTAATCCATTAAAGTTTTTAGTGGGATGCTGGGAGAGGCAGCATCAGGAGGCTCCCAGCCAGACATCATTTTAAGCCAGAACCCTTTCCTATTGATTCTTTTATTGGTTTCTAGACACTGACTAATTGGAAGTGCTGGGGCTCAGATGCCCTCTTATGCCTTCTGGAGGCACACAGGGAGCGGTCATCATTTTTAATGGGATAGACTGGACACCACCTCCTAGACCCCTTATGTGCCTTGAAGATGAGACCATCAAGCCCTCTAGGCCCATTTCCAGATCCCTTCCATATCTCCCCAAATTCCCTAAAAGAATCATAACTAACCGAGAGACTGCACAACCAGAGGGGAGCAGATATGGCCTGCCTGAAGCCTGAAGCCCTTCAGCTAACCACACTGACTTCTGGAAGTTTATGACTTGTCAGAAGAAGTTGAGGAATTTACTTCCTGGCTGACTTGGCTTTCTGATTTGCTCTGTTTCCAAAGCAGAGGAAAAGTTATATTACATGGTATAGTTTAAAACAATAAACAATAGCAGGTCTAATGATTAGTATCTTCTTCATCAAAACTAACTGATAAAATATACTTATATTTCCACTCAGAAACTTATTCTTGCTTTTATTCAATGTCCATCTTAAGGATTTATTTTGAGCTTGACATCCCGAGAAACCTTCATTCTGTGGTTTGAATCTTGCCATGATTTTTGACCAAAAGCAATGCCATTTTTATCTGAATAAGCAGAAGACTTTCTTGGGCACGACTATCCATTCTATGGATTTTCTCCCCCTGGATGAGGGCCAAAGAATACTTAATTCCCTGCCTGTGGAAGTCTCTTGTGCAGTTGTAGTGTCAGTGAGAATTTAGAGAAGGACTAGGGCGAGGAAGGAAGGGGGGCAGACAGCAGCCCTGACCCTGAGAGCTGCCATGTCCCCACCCTGTTTCCCTGCAGACTTCTCCATGATGACGCCCATCAATGACCTCCACACAGCTGACTCCTTGAACCTGGCCAAGGGGGAGCGGCTCATGCGCTGCAAGATCAGCAGCGTCTACCGTCTCCTAGACCTCTATGGCTGGGCCCAGCTGAGCGACACCTACGTCACGGTGAGCAGAGCATCTTGGAGTGGGGTGGGTACTGCATGTGGCCCTGACAAAATCCCAAGAGAGAGCTCCTGCCCGTCAGCATGGCCATGCACTGAGCCCTTCCAACATTTCTAACCACTGTGGTCACCTGAAATAGACAACCTTCCCTGTAACCACTTCCTGCATAAGGAGATAGGAACTCCTGGATCCTATTTCTGGGGCTACCCTTGATCATTGGGAGATTCCTCTTGTAGGTCCATTGCCCCAGTTCCAAATAAAGGCCAGGTCTTCTTCATCTTTCATGTGCTGGGGGGGAGATAAGGGTTTTTGGGTGTGAGTTTTGGGTGCAGTGGATTCAGGGGAAGTGGGGATTCAAGCAGAGTGTTCTTGGAAATAACCCTTCTGTCTCCTTGCCACTGAGAACATGTGTCTTCCCTCCAGCTGAGAGTCAGCAAGGAGCAGGATCACTTCCTGATTAGCCCTAAGGGAGTTTCTTGCAATGAAGTCACCGCATCCAGCCTGGTAAGTATAGCTGGGCATCTCATTGCCCATTGCTTATTGAAACGACAGCAGCCTACAGTGACAGGTCATGTTCAGATTAGCCACTGCCATCCTATCCCTCATGGAGCTTGCCATCTAGTGGGGCAGAGAAGACACATGGCTCCAAAGCACAACCCAACCATGAGACCAAATATGAGGTGCAGGCAGCAAGTGCAGTAGGAGGTAGGAGGGGGAGGAGCTGGGCCTGAGGTCCTCTGGGCCTGGGATTGGACCCCGAAGTCTGGGAATGGGGAGGCCTTCCCAGATTGGGGAATACGTTAGAATAACAGCCAGTGCTTTGTCTCAAAGCAGCGCAAGCCTGGCGTAGTGCTGGTGTCATAAGCATTAACTCTCTGGAACCCCCTTTGGTTCTCTCGCTCCTTTTAGGTGTACTTCCAGAACTTGGTCTTGATAAGGAAAGATTCCTGGGTAGGAGGACGAGAGAAGTAGAAAGGACTGTCTTACAAGCAGAAGAGGCCCCATGGTTCCCAGATGTGTGGGCTGCTGTGCTGTACGCCTGAGGGCAGAGGGTACCAACTCAGGGCCTCTGCCAGGCTTGACACACACTCACATGTTGAGTCCACGTATGCAGTTAAAAGAGCCAGCTGACAAAGTCACAGAATAGCTGGGCAGGGTAGACCTTGAGGGCTGCCAAGGCCACTTTATAGGCAGGAGAGGACACTGGAGCCCAGGGAGGTAAGTGGCTTGCACAGGGCCACCTAAGGACGTCATGGCCAAGTCAGATTAGGGTCAAAGACACAAGGAGGCACTGGATCTGCCTTTAAGGCATTTGTGGCGAGTTGGGGAGCGGGCAAGACAAGCAATGATTCAACTCAGAGTGAAGAAGGCTCCCATACAGCAGGAAACTTGGGGAGCCCAGAAAAGGTGCTTGGGCCCAGCAGGAGGGGCAAGGGAAGAGCATGTGGGTTAACCTGATGGTGAAGGAGCTTAGTCCCCAGGAGCCCACAGCATAAGCAGATTTAGACCAGGCCAGGAGGGAGAGACTGGGCAGAGAGAACTCTGTCCTCAGCAGGAGAAGGACAGTTCACACAAAGCCAGGCACATGCCACATCCTGGTGCATTTGGGAGGACAGTGAGGGGCCACGTCTGGTTCACGTGTTCAGTGTCTGGAAGTGAGGCTGGGAGGGAATAGGGACAAGATGAAAAATGGCACCAAAAGCGTGGTTATGGTGCTTTGGCTTTACTCTGCTGGACATGCAGAGCCGCTGAAGCATTGTAAGCAGGTGAGTGATACAGTCACACACACACATTCACACACACGCGCACGCACGCACACACACACACACACACAGTGTGTGATTGTTAGCCATGACACCTGCTAGCTCCTCGGCATCAAAAGCAGATTATAAGACCAGTAACTAGTTTCTACCTGTCCTTTAAGATCTAGCTTTTGGGTGATTGGTAAATGGGTGTTTATTTTACTATTATCTTTACCTTTGTGTATTTTGCTTAAAAATTCAAAATAAAGAGTAAAAAAAACAAGAAAAAGGCTCAGGTTAGATGTTACTTCCTCTGGGAAGGCTTCTCTGATCCCCCTGTTTTACTGGGATCAAAGACTCCTCCCATCTGCTTCTAGAGAATTCTGTGACTGACTCTCTTCTAGCTTCCCTACCCAAGGTGTGGTCTGTGGACCAGCAGCATGGGTATCTCTTGGGAACTTGTCAGAAATGCAGACTCTCGGGTCCCATTCTGGGCCTACTGAATCAGAATCTGCATTTTTTTTATTTTAAATTTTAGTTAGTTAACATACAGTGCAGTATTGGTTTTAGGAGTAGAATTCAGTGATTCATCACTTACATACAACACCCAGTACTCATCACAACAAGTGCCTTTCTAATACCCATCATCCATATACCCCCTCCCCCACCCACCTACTTCCGTCAACCTGCAGTTTATTCTCTATTGTTAAGAATCCCTCTCCCCTTTTTTCTCCCTCTTCCCATATGTTCATCTGTTTTCTTTCTTAAATTCCACATATGAGTGAGATCATATGGTATTTGTCTTTCTCTGACTGACTTATTTCATTTAGCATAATATACTCTAGCTCTATCCATGTCATTGCAAATGGCAAGATTTCATTCTTTTTGATGGCTGAGTACTATTCCATTGTGTGTGTGTGTGTGTGTGTGTATGCCACATCTCCTTTATCCATTCATCAGTTGATGGACATTTGGGCTCTCTCCATAGTTTGGCTGTTGTTGCCCCTTCAAATCTGTATTTTTGTATCCTTTGGGTAAACGCCTAGCAGTGCAATTGCTGGATCATAGGGTAGCTCTAGTTTTAACTTTCTGAGGAACCTCCATACTGTTCTCCAGAGTGGCTGCCCCAGTTTGCAGAGAATCTATTTTGACAGGATCTCCAGAGGATTCTTATGCCCGGTCAAGTTTGAGAAACTCTGCTCTAGCATTTTCCCTGCTGAATCATAATCAGTCATGTCTCCTGGTAGCCTGTGTCCTCACCAAAAGCAGGAACCAGGTCTCTTCTCCCAACACCAAGCACAGCCCTTGCTCCTGGGGTGCGGGAATGCCTGGAGGCGGTGGGTGTGGCCCACCTGCGGGAGGGTCCTGAGGGCCCCCACCTGCCTTGTGGCCATAAGGTTCTCTTCCCTGGCCCAGATCAAGGTGAACATCCTGGGAGAGGTGGTGGAGAAGGGCAGCAGCTGCTTCCCAGTGGATACCACAGGCTTCTGTCTACACTCGGCGATCTACGCTGCCAGACCTGATGTGCGCTGCATCATCCACCTGCACACGCCGGCCACGGCAGCCGTGAGTGTTCGCTCTAAGGGCAGCATTTCGTCCCTGAGGCTGGCAGCAAACCCCTGCTGCCCCCTTCTCTGAGGTGCTCCCTGACGAAAGAAGTAAGCCCCCCAAGCTAGTGGCAGTCTCGTTATTTAAAACAGTTCTGGAAACATTTCCTGAACTCAAGCCAAGGTGAAGAGAAGGAACACCCCATGTGGTAACCCTAATCCTCTCCATTTTTCCAAGCACAGAAGTCTTGGTTTGGGGACATGAGGCAAAGATATGAAGTGTTTGCTCTGCTGCGTCCCCCACCCTGCTACACACACACATAAGCACCATTTACCCAAGTGACGGCACCTCTTGAGTTTCCACTCAGGTCAGTCCTCTCGGACTGAAGGCTGGAGCCTGCCCCAACCCCCACCCCCAGCCCAGGCTCTGGTGAGGAGAGATCGTGATAAAAAATAAGATGGTGGGAACCTGGACTTGTCCACTTTTCATAACCCAGGGTTCCAAGTGTCACTTGGAAAGACCACAACCAAGCAGGTCTGGGTGTCCCCTCAACCTTCAACCCATCTTACTGACTTCCAGACCTTACACCTACAGGAGCAGAGCGGACTTGTCATTGGCCTGGGTTTTTTCTGTGAAGCACACCAGTTATGAGCACTCAGATTTTCCAGAATATGGGACAGAATGAGGGAACAAAGGCGGGAGGCTCTCCTAAACCTCTCCATGCTCCTTGCTTTTAATAAAAGGCAGGATTTGAGGCATGGATTTGAACCCTATTCCCTGGCACCCTTATTGCCTTATCACTAGTGAAAGGGGGCCTCTCAGTGGGCCTCCCTGTTTCTGCCCTGACCTCAAGGCTGAGGATTTCCACCAGCTCACCCCAGAGGACGCTGGACCCTGCTTCACTCCAGCCTGGTGCCAACTCTGCTACCCCCTACCTTTTCCCAGAGTCCTAGCACGAGAGGAGAGCGAGGGGGTGGGCAGGAGCACTAGCTTTCTCAAAGGCATTCTTTGTAGCAATTTTAGAGAGAGGTATATTGACATGGCGGCTGTCAAAATGATGGTGGAAAGACGTCAGAGGAAGCAGCTGGCAAGCCAGAGCCCAGCCGGGTGCAGCAGAGTCAAAGGGCAGTGCCTTTCTTGGGGGCTTGCTCTCTCCCGCACTAGTCCTCAGAGTAGAGCCTGGCTGTGCCACTCTGAGGAAAGGGCACAGACCGGGGTGGGGGAGCTGCAGGTGCTAACCATTCCACTGTCTCACTAAAGGTGTCAGCCATGAAGTGTGGCCTCCTGCCTGTCTCCCACAACGCCCTGCTGGTGGGGGACATGGCCTATTATGACTTCAATGGTGGGATGGAGCAGGAAGCGGATCGAATCAGCCTGCAGAAGTGCCTTGGACCCACCTGCAAGGTTTGCTCAGCTGTTTCAGAAAGACACTCTGGGGTGGGATTGTCCAAAACCTACATCATGAGTGACATGTGTTCAGTGGACAATGTTTAGAAGTTGCACTTAAACAAAAAAGTGAAATAAAATTCTCTTTATCCCACTATCCTGAGGTTTTGGTGCATGCTCCACAAATATATTCACATATATTTAGAAAACGTAGATCATAAAATATATCCTCTTTTTTCCTTTAGTAATATCCAGTAAACACCTTTGTATATTATTAAATATTTTCTAAATCACTATTTTATTTTTTAAAAATGTTTTTATTTAATAGAGAGATAGAGAGCACAAGCAGGCAGGGTGGCAGCCAGTGGGAGAGGGAGAAGCAGGCTTCCCGTTGAGCAGGGAACCCCGATGTGGGGCTCGATCCCAGGACCCCGGGATCATGACCTGACCTGAAGGCAGACGCTTAACTGACTGAGCCACCGAGGCGCCCCTCTAAATCACTATTTTAAAATTATTAGATTATACCTCATTGTGTAAATGGCTGTGCCACCATTTACCTTAACAAACTGGACACCGGAAGCTCCCGCCCTCCACCCACCCTGAATTTTTCCTTGATATAAACAACACATGATGAAAATCCTTTTAGCTAAATCTCTATATATGCTTGAGATCATTTCCTTAGGATAAATTCCCAGGGACACACATTTTAGAACTCTTACTTCATTCAGGCGCATTGCCCTTTCCTCCCCCAGAGTCTAGTATATGAGAATGCTACTTCCCTGCACTCGCCCCAAACTTGAGTATTACTGCTTTTTTTTTTCTTTTGCTAACTTGATAGAGAAAAACAGAATCTCACTATTGTTTGGCTTAAATCTAAAGACTTATTTTTTAACAGTACATCATTAGGGGTCGTCAGCTCAGTACAGGAAGTTCTGGAGCTGAGCCTACGTTGATAGATGCTTGTTCCCGTCCTTGAAAGGCACTCACTGCCTAAATCATTTCCAGTCGGAGAGTCTCTGCCTTCCCATTCCTGACACAGAGGAGAAATCCCTGCCACTCTCTCCCAACATTCTCTAAAGCCTCATTAGCAGTGCCGGGAGAGGGAGGAGATGTTCACATCTACAAAATGCTACAAGAATTTCAGAGATTTGCTATCTACAAAATCTTTTTAGGCCAGAGTCATCATCTCTTTCTATTTCTCTGGCGCTTGAGAAGAAAAACCTCCAGCTGTTTTCAGCAGGAGAGGATGTGATGATTAGACCACTAGGCCTCAGCCCACGTCTGCAAGGACACATCCTACACATGGATCTGTGTCCCTGCTGCTAGGTGGGCATCGTCTGGTTTCAGAGAGTTCATGAGGAAAAAACCAACCAAGAAACAGTTTCTGCATCTGAACTCTAGGGAGTCAGGCTCTGTATAAGTTCATTTCTGTTTCTTTCCCCCACCCCCTTTTGTCTGCCTGCCCCTGGCTGAGTCACAAACGTTGCACCAACGGTGAGAACACCTGGGTTCTAGTTCCGATTCTGCCCTTGATTAGCTGGGAGGCTTTCACTTTCTTTAGGCTTCTGTTTCCTCTTCTGCAAAACCAGAGAGTTAAGAGTAGAAGGTCACTATGGCCTCCTTCACAGAAGTGGAGGGTCTTAGAGCTACCAGGGCATCGCTGAGTTCATGGAGAAGAGACTTGAGGTCCAGAGAGGTGACATGACGCACCTGTTTCTGCAGAGCCACCCCTCAGAGAGCCACCCCCTTGGGTTTTGATTTCCAAGTCAACTAAGTCACAGGAGCAAGAGATTGCTTTTGAGGTTAGACCCTCCTATTGGACACAAAGTAATTTCTTTCACTTTAACACAGACACCAGTTTTTCAGACTTCAAAGCCCTCCGAGGCCTAAAAATCCAGGTATTGCCCAAAGAAATCCACCAAGCTCTCTAGTCTCCATTTTAAAAAGCATTTTCTATTTTTTAGGGAGGATGCTTAGGGTTAAAATCACATCCGGGGTAGCATTGGGGTGTTTGCACGGGGAGAATGAACAAGGAGTTGGGGGCATGCTTTGGGACTGGATATGGAAACTGATTTGGAGTAAATGAAAAATCTCTCCTTCTTCACTAAAGTTTAAAAGGCTTGAAGTTTTAATTGGCCGTTTGCTCCTATGCAGATCCTGGTGCTAAGAAATCATGGAGTGGTTGCTCTAGGTGACACCGTGGAGGAGGCGTTTTATAAGGTCTTCCACCTGCAGGCTGCGTGTGAGATACAGGTGAGCAAGTTCCTCTGGGGAGTGTGCCCTAGCGTGGCTCTGACGGAGTCCGCACTGGCCGTGATTTAAGGAGTCCTGGGAGCCAGCCATCTAAAAGCCTTGCCCTATTTCTTCTCTGCCTTGGCACCACCTTATCCTTCTAAAGTTTCGCACTTAGAATCAGTTTTGTAGCTTTAAAATATTTATCACTGTTGCCTAACAACCAGTATCTACCTCTTGGGGTCAGTGACCAGGACAGGGAGCTGCCTAGGCCCATCAATCGGAAAGTGGGAGAAACCGTAATAGGGGATATAAAAGTTCTTACCATGCTCACATATTACCTGGGGTATAACTGTTACATCTAGCTATGGCAAATAGACACCACCTCGTAAGTGGGTCTTTTCTCTTTTTGTCTGGAGGGTGTAGTTTGCAAAGACCATGAACATGGTCCAGCCCAGAAAGGGGTGAAGTTAGACATGGCAAGCCTGAACACCAGGGAACCCCCAACATAATGTCCAGGGAGCCCATCGTAAGGTTCTCCTAACTAGTAGGGGATGGGGTGGAGGGTGGGTGGGGATTGTCAGTGATCATGAGACCCCTAAAGGAATTGGTGGAAAAGCAATAGGAAAACACAAATCCTATAGTTTTGCCAGATAACAAGGTGATGTTACATAAGCCAAACACATGCTCCTTTCAGTGTGGCAAGCTGTCAGGGGTGAGTAGGGGGGCCTTGCAAACTGAATGGACTCTATCCTTTCCAGCTCTGGGATATGTGTCTTTGGGTCAGGGACTTGCTTTCCTCATCTGGACAAGGGGGGGCCTATGGGATCCTTGTGAGGATGGGGCCTTTCAGATAAGGAGAGGTGTTGTTGATGGTATTTTTAGGACCCAGTTGACAGAAGGGAAGACTAACTGCTCCAGGATGAGTCAGCTCTTCGCAAGGTCCTTTGGTGTCCTGTCTGCCCTCTCCTGGCTGGTCTGGGCAGAGCAGCGCCCCAGGCGGAATGCCTGCCTTTGTCTTGGCAGCTGGGGAACAGGGGAAAGAATGGGATAATCCCAGAGGCATTGCTAGTGGAGGTTCTGCAAATGGCACCTTTCTCAAGGGTTTTTAAATGAATATGTTGAGAGGACAGTTGTTAAGACAATGATGAAGAGGTGTTAGAAGTGGTATGAGACTGTCCCATCCCCCCAGACAGCGGTGGTCATAACAGAAGGTGGAGAAGGTAGAACCAGGGTCAAGGCAGTTCCTTCCTGATGCAGCCCCAACCAGAGATGCTGGCCCTGAGCTCTGACCCCTGACTGATGTTAGAACCTGGCAGAGCCTCTGATATGCCCACTTTCTTTTCCCCATATCTGTGCTCTAACGAGTTCCCCATCTTCCTTCTGAAGAAGAGGTTTCCATGAGAAAATAGTTCGTACCATTTTGCAAAGACAGCATGGCCTGGAAATGAATGGAGAGAGATGCCCATGTGCCCCCCATCATGTGGTAAAGACCTGTCCCAGGCTACACGCTGAAAAATGGCCTCCGTACAGTTTAACCAAAGGCAGGACGGCCGTCTAGCAGCTGGGGAGATGAAAGCACAGAGTTGCCAGCCACTGGCCCCGACAGCCCCAGCGGCTTCTCTCGGCCCTATCTGCTGTCACTTTCTTTTCCATCAGAACTGCCATGTGACCTTGTTAAAGTGCATCAGGCGATAGAAGCAAATAACCTCCAGAAAACCTCCAGTGGCTTTTTTTTCAGCTCGTGGAGCAGGGAGGCTTCTAGAGAGAGAAAGGAAGCTAGAGGGTGTGGAAGCAGAACAGGCCAGATTAGACCAGAGGTGTGGGTGGTTTAGGGCATGCGCGACCCCATGGGCCAGTGGTCTGCAGATGCTGTTGGGATGGTAGCCCCTGGGCAGCTCATTTCTGCTTGAACAGCCAGCACTGAGGTTCTGTTTTCATCGTGGGCTAACTTTTCTCCCTCAGTGACCTTGGCAAACAAATGTGGCTGTGGTCATTTTAGTGGTTCAAGGCTAAAAGCCTAGTCCATTCTTCTGGGGACAGTGCTCTCCATTGGTTTGGGGTTCTAGGAAACTGGGTCATCCCCAGCTGAGAGAGGCAGCTCCCTGCTCTGCTTACAGGCAGATGGGAAGAAGCTCAGGCAATTCTTCTCCATCTGCTACCCATCGCCATGGAAACTAATGGGGGAAGGGGGAGGTGGGAGGAGGCACAGTTCTTGTAAGGATATGGGCAGTTCTTTCCTCCATTAATGACTAGGCACATTGTTTCTTTCATAGTAAAACCTCGGAATTTTTTGATCATAAACATTGATGTGGCACTCTATGCCCCAGGTACTATTCTAGGTGCTTTACAAGTATTACCTTCCATAATGCTCACAAGGTAGATACTACTATTTTTTTCATTTTACAGATGAGAAAACAGGCACAGAGAGGGTAAATAGCTGCCCCAAATTACACAGCGAGTAAGTGGCAAAGCCAGGATTCAAACCCAGGCAGCCTGTGTCCGCTTCCATGTCCTTAAACACTACGTTGCACTGCCTCGGGGGGAAATGAAGATCAGCTGACAGTCAGCACTCCAAGTCAGGGTTCCAGGGTCGCAAGGGCTGGAGCCCTGCCTTGGCCAGATGGGGGTCTGGGATGAACCAGGTAATTGATCTACCGGCTGGGATTCACTGCCTTTGAGAGTGCATGCCCACACGCTCAGCCTGTGTACATGTGAGGGACTTCAGCATTAGAAAATATGGCAACAGAGGCCAGAACCGGAACTGGTGAATGAGCATAACAAAAAGGTGGATTTGCACTTCGTGTAATCTACGCCAACTCACTGTAACCCTTCTAACATTTGGACCACAGTATAGTAGGCTGCCTCCCTAGGCACGGAGCTGACTATCTCCAGGGATATTGGACAAGGACCCTTAGCTTTGGTGGATGCAATTTAGCTTGCTGGCTAAGTCATTTAATAAACGACTATTAAAGTCTCCATCTTTGCCAGATAAAAATGGAGCCTTCAACTGGACGCATGCCTCGGATGAAGAGGGTATGGAAAATGAGTATTCTTGCTTCCTCCTCTTCACCCTTGCAAAGGTGGCCTGGCTGACCTCCAGGAAGTCCCATAGGAGGCATTTGTTACACTGGCGAATCCAACACACTCCAGGGTGTGTGCCAGATCCTCACAGGTTCACGGACTCATGTTGGCCAGCAAGCTAAATTGCATCCTTTCCTTTTCAGTAAAAACTGGAACACTGGAAGTTTATGTAGTCGGATCATTCTCCTGTAATAAGTAGGCTTACAGGAGATATCAAATATTAATCAGATTGCAGCACAGAACACCTGGCTTCCCACTGAGACGACTGGGAAACCATCCTCTCTCACTGTTGCTGGTCTCACCCTGGAAGCCAAATCATAACCAATTATATCTGAGTGCTGGATTCAGGGAGTAGACAGAAGGTACCATTATATGGATATGGAATTAGAAAATAAGGAGATTGGTTAGATTAATAAATGTCTTCTAGGATCATTCTAAAATCGCCTGCTGTATACACACACCTCTTGCCCTAATACTCAGAGTCCATTGCCTGTAGCCACTTGTTCTGTCCCCTTGCCATGGAGCCTGGACAGTGGGGCAAATACTCCAAGTGCACTGGGGAAGCTGCATCTCCCTTTACAGGGCCCGGCTGTGTATTACACAGGGAGAGAGATTTCAAACACACAGAAAGATGCAGAAGAATAATATACACCCACTACTCACCACTCAGATTTAAAAAGTAAAAGCCTTTTTACTTCAGATCTTTTCCTCTTGAAGAAATAAAATATTATAGACAAGAACTGAAGTCCATTTTGGAGCCCTTCCTGACCTCAACCCCCACCTTCCCCAGAAATAGTCACAAATTGAGGTTGGTCTGTATCCAGGTAACTTTTCAGTCCTCTGCATTGCTTTATTCTTGAGGTTTAACACTTGCTGCTTCCTCCTCTTCTGCAGTCTCTAAGAAATAGCATTAAGAAAGAAACTGCTAAGACCTCTTTCCCTGGAAGTGGGTACGTGCCCAGTAACTTTGGAGCAGCTTTTCCTCTGGGAGGGAAAAAGCCAAATACAGCTCACATTTCTAGACATGTGTACACACACGCATACATGCATGCACACTGAGGTCTTTCTGCTCTTTGCTGCAGGTCTCCGCCCTGTCCGGCGCCGGGGGAGCAGAGAACCTCATCCTCCTGGAGCAGGAGAAGCACCGACCCCACGAAGTGGGCTCTGTACAGTGGGCAGGGAGCACCTTCGGGCCTATGCAGAAGAGCCGGCTGGGGGAGCACGAGTTTGAGGCCCTCATGAGGATGCTGGACAACCTGGTGAGTCGGTTGAGACTCAGCCCCCTGTAACCAGTAAGGGGGGGATGCAGTAGGTGGACATGGGAATCGCAGCATCATGAAGCTGTTAAAGCCTCATTGATTGGCAACTGACTCAGAATTTGTGGTCATTCTAATCGTAGTTGAGTTTTCTTAAATGATGGCCTTTACCACCCCATTCTAAAGGCTGTCAATGCCATCTTATATTGTGGCTCAGTTCACTCTTTTCTAGTTAGTTCTGCCTTGGTATCTCGTGACTTTAATGTAGAAACCATGTAATACTCTAATTTCCTTATTCTGCTGAGCAACATTCTAACAATATCCTGTCATAATGATTGAATGAATCAATCCTGTAAGGAGTTAACTGGTATGTGTCTAGGGGTGGGCTTTAAAGGATACAAAATCTAACAATCTAGTTGATGATAGGACATATAAATAGGAGACAGTTGGAGAACAAGAGCAAAGTATGCACGATGAAGAGCTAGTTGCAGGAAGAGAACATAACTTCTTCGATTGCTCGGAGAAGTGAAAGATGAAACCTATCTTTGGACCGTTTCTATATCTGATTCATGTTCCCCTCCTGACTGCTACTCCCTTGGACCCTCTTTATTGTGTCCAGATCACTGCAATAATTAATCTTTTTCTCCTTGCCTCCAGTCCCTCCAAACCATCCTTACCTTATTACCAGGCTGACTGTGAGGGTCACTTTATAATGATGAAAAACACAATCCACCTTGAAAATACAATTCCTGTTAACATTCATGTGCTGAGTAATTCATGCCTAAATAAAGCACCAGAGCCAGACAGTTTCATACAGGAATTCTTTCAAATCTTTAAGAAACACACAATTCTTTTTTTTAAGATTTTATTTATTTATTTGAGAGAGACAGAGAGAGGGCACAAGCAGGGTGTGAGGCAAGTAGAGGGAGAGGGAGAAGCAGACTCTCCGTTGAGCAAGGAGCCTGATGTAGGGCTTGATCCTAGGACCCCAATATCCCAGGACCCCGGGATCATGACCTGAGCTGAAGGCAGATGCTTAACTGACTGAGCCCCAAGGTGCCCCAAGAAACAGACAATTCTTCTGCCATTTAAACTGTTTCAGAGAGTGAAAGTGGAACATGAAACTGTAACAGTTATAACACATTCAGACCAATCTTGCTTTGAGTTGCTGAAAAATGCTACATGAAAACTAGCAGCTAGTATCCAGCATAACATTAGAATAATAATACATAATAACAAGCGAAGGCTCACTCCTAGTATTCAAGGATGGTTTAATATTATAAATCTTTTTTTTTAAAGATTTTACTTATTTATTAGAGAGAGAGAGCACAAGCAGGGGGAGCGGCAGGCAGAGGGAGAGGGCGAAGCAGTCTCCCCAATGAACAGGGAACCCGATGTGGGGCTTGATCCCAGAACCCTGGGATCATGACCTGAGCCAAAGGCAGATGCTTAACCGACTGAGCCACCCAGGCACCCCTATTATAAATCTTTTAAATATATTTCATGATATTAGTGAGTCAAAGGATTAAAAACCTTTTGGTCATTTTAATAAATACCAAAGTCATTTGATAAAAATATAGTATCAGTTTATAAAAATAATAGCTGTTAAGACAGGAGGACACTTATTTAACATGATTAAAGTAATTTTTTTCTCAAAACAAGAGCCAATATACTGGTAACACTAGAAGTATTTCCATTAAATTTTGAAACAGAACAATGATTCTTTCTGTCAGCACTTTTAATATTGTTCTGGAATAATACTGGAACTCAATCTAAGGTGGTGAGGCATAAAAATAAATATTGAAAAGGAAACAAAATTACTATTCTATATAGACAGTATGGTTACATGCCTATAAAATCCCAAAGAGCCAACTAAGAAAAAATATTAGAAATAATGAGTGCATTTTAAAGTAGTCAGTTATGAAAATATATTTAAAAATTAGTAGCTTTTTTTGCATCTTAACATATAATAATATATTTGAAAATACAGTAATGGGAGAAAATAGCCCTATTTGCAAATGCAGAAAGAACATAAAACATTAAGCAGAACTGATTTAAAGAAAACCATAATAGTTTATCAATAGACGTCAGAGACGGGCGCCTGGGTGGCTCAGTCGTTAAGCGTCTGCCTTCGGCTCAGGTCATGATCCCAGGGTCCTGGGATCGAGTCCCACATCGGGCTCCCTGCTCTGCGGGAGGCCTGCTTCTCTCTCTCCCACTCCTCCTGCTTGTGTTCCTGCTCTCGCTATGTCTCTCTCTGTCAAAAAAATAAATAAAATCTTTAGAAAAAAAAAAAATAGACGTCAGAGAAAACCTGAACTTAAGAGCCACAATTTCCTCTTGGTTAGAAAATCCCATAGGGTTAAGAGGTTGCTCTTCCAAATTAATAAACTCAGTGTAATTCCTTCAATAATAGGGGAGCACAGAAGGACTTAGCAAAAATGTTTTTCCAAGTGAAATTCAGAATGGCTAGGAAAATCCTATAAAAAGAAGAGTAATTAGAGATACTTGTCCCATCACATGGTAAAGCATGAAAAATCTTCAGCAACTAAACAGAGGAGCACTAGTGCAGAATGAACAGGTGAATCAGTAGGACAGCTTAGAGAATCCAGAAATAGACCCTAAATGTATGAGAACTTAACACAGGGCAACTAGGCATCTTATAAAGCAGTGGGAGAAAGATTGAGTGCTAGCCCTTTGGGAAATAAATAAGGTGGATCATTCCTTTCGACAAGATGAATTCCACAGGGCTCCTGGGTGGCTCAGTCAGTTAAGCGTCTGCCTTCAGCTCAGGTCATGATCTCAGAGTCCTGGGATCGAGCCCCTCATCGGGCTCCCTGCTTAGCAGGGAGTCTCGTTCTCCCTCTCCCTCCTCCCTTCCCCCTGCTTGTGCTCTCTCACTCTCTATCTCAAATAAATAAATAAGATCTTAAAAAAAAAACCAAGATGAATTCCTGATTTATCAAAAATTTGAACATAAAAAGTAAATTCATATAGATATTAAACAACAGATTTATATTTTTGATGCTCTTGTGTTGGGAAAGAACTTGTCAAGTATGGTGAGAAAGTCTAACAAATATTGACAGATATGATTATATTAAAATTGAAAATGTATATTTTTATAAACTATCTCTCCCATCATAAACAAAGCTGAAAGACAAACTATGGAGGAAAATATTGCAACATCTGTGACATTCAAAAAATTAATATCCTTAATGTAGAAAGCGGTATTATGAATCAATGTGAAAACAGTAAACATCTCAATAGAAAAACAAACCAAGAACACAAGCAGTTTACAAAGGAAGAGATTCAAGTGGCCATTAAAAATATCTAGTTTTACTAGTAATAAAAAAAAGAATTTAAAAAGTTGGAGGATTTTACTTTTAACCCTTCTGATTGCCAAAGTTTTTTTTTTTTTTTTTAAACCTCAGCAATATTCAGCAGTGGGAGGGAGGTGAGAACTGGAAACTCCAGCACAATTGGTAGAAGTGTAAATTGGCTCAACATTTTGGGAAGATAATAAATACATGAAAACTTTTAATGTATACCCCTTGACCCAGTAATTTTTATTCTAGGAGAGAATCTTTAATTGCCTAAAGAAAACTGTATAAATATACTTATTTCACGGTTGTTTATAATATTTTAAAAATGACAAAGTGTCAGTGCTATCAATTACTTTTTACTAAATCATAAAAAAATAAAGGTTTCTGTGTGTTTATAGGTTCAATAATGTGAAAAAAAATCTCTAAATCACATCAATAAACTAGAAAAGCAGCTTGTAAAGTTGCTTATGCAGTATGGTCCCATTTATATACTGTTTTATATATATAATTATAGAACACATATATATAACATATATATTCTATAGTTATATATTATGTATATACTCACATACATGCACATATATATATGCTTACAGAGATGACCAGAAAGATTTTTAGTGGTTATCTCTGGGGATGAGATTTTTTAATAAAACCCACTTCTTATGTTTTTCCATATTGCCTGATTTTTCTAGATAGGTCTGTATTTTCTTTATAATCGGAAAAATATTTTAATGCCTCTTTAATTTAAAAAAAATAAGAAGAAGATAGGCAAAGCCAAGAAGGAATCACATGAGGAGCTCTCAAGATGACTGAATGTTCTCACCAAGCAGGAGCCATTTCTACCTCTGTGGGACATGGTCCTGCTTAGGAGACAGGGATGTTAGTGAGTCAGATTTCAGGGTTCCAAGAAAGAAATGGCTTAGAAGCCTTGGAGTCAAGAAAATGAGGGTTGACTGTTAGAATCAGCTGGCAAGCTTTTAAAAATCCTGCAGCCCAGACATTGTCCACTGAAATCAGCAGCTCTGAGGTGGGCACAAGCACCAGCATTTTTAAAGCCCCCAAGGGATCCTAGCATGCAGCCAGGGCTGAGAACCCCTGGAGTAGATGGAAAACTGGAACACTGTTAGGGTAAGGAGACCTGTCTGTCTGGTCCACAATGTTCTAGGGCTTTTCTCAGCTCTGATCAGAGGGCTTGTTGGGGTGAAGGAAAGAGGGCGTTGGGGGACCAGGAGAAGGGAACAATTCTGAAACACATCAAAGGAGCAGCATTGTGTTATGGAGATTTTGGGTTAAACTAAGTCCTTCAGAAAGAAGAGGGCAAAGGGTGTGTGAGATATGTGCATGGAGGCCATGTTTCCCACAGTAAGTGGTTCTGTTTCTGTCTTTTTTAGGGTTACAGAACAGGCTACACGTACCGCTACCCCTTTGTTCAAGAGAAAACCAAACACAAAAGTGAGGTGGAGATCCCAGCCACCGTCACAGCCTTCGTGTTTGAGGAGGACGGCGCCCCGGTGCCCGCCCTGCGGCAGCATGCCCAGAAGCAGCAGAAGGAGAAGACCCGTTGGCTCAACACGCCCAACACCTACCTGCGGGTCAATGTGGCTGATGAGGTTCAGAGGAGCATGGGCAGCCCCCGGCCCAAGACCACAGTAAGGAGGAGACTGGGGTGGGGGGAGGGTGCATGGCTATATCTGTGGGTTAAGCAGCTTAATTTAAAAGGGGAACAGAACAAATATCCCATGGGCTGGGATATTGCAGTTTCCCTTTAGAGCTTCCTATTGGGCATCTAGGAGCAGCTGCTCGTGCTCGCAGAACCTCTGATCACCTGTTTCTTGCACCTCTGCACTGAGGTTTGGGGCCCAAAGAGCAGATTTCTCCAGGGGGTGGCTGGACCTCACTCCCAGCAGCACAAAATCTAGGAACAATTGGTTTTTGCTTCTTCTCCCCCATATACAGGGCTGGGAAGTTCATGGGCATCCAACATTTGGATTGTTCATCTGATGCAAACCCAGAAGATGGGTGGGATATGAATTTCGATTAAGTTGTCTTCTCCCTCCCCACACCTCTTCTCGTTTTCTCTCTCACACACACACACACACCAGTGTGCATACACACACAACTCTTAATTGATTTTTCATTAACATTAAAGTAGCTGAAGGCAAGTAGAATAGCTCTTCATTAAAAACAAAAAACAAAAAACGATGAAGCCCTGCAAATTAAAATCAATTAAGTCAGGGCACTTGGGTGGCTCAGTTGGTTAAACATCAGACTCTTGATTTAGGCTCAGGTCATGATCTCAGGGTTGTGAGATTGAGCTCTGTGTTGGGCTATGCATGCTCGGTGTGGAGTCGGCTTGAGAGTCTCTCTCTCCCCCTCCCCCGGCTCTCTCTTTCTTTCTCCCTCTAAATAAATAAATAAAATTGAAAATCAGTAAGTCATCTGATGCTAAAGGCCAAGTGGCTGCCTGTTTGTCAAATTGGTTGTCAAGGTTATGAGCCCTACTCTCCAGCGCTCTTTACAGCTGACTATTGACCTGGGGGCCTTCTTTGGCAAGCAGGTCATTTGTTCCCCGTCTCTGTTCTGGGAGACAGACCTCAAGGAGGCCCTAGAAGAGAGAACATCTCTCTATAGGCTTGCTGACCTTGCACATGGACCGGTTGGCCCAGATCTCAGGGGTGGGCCATAGGGGAGGACATGGTGACTTTATTCCTTTGCCTTACCCACCTGACCTTGTGTGTGTTCAGTGGATGAAGGCTGACGAGGTGGAGAAATCCAGCAGTGGCATGCCGATACGGATTGAAAACCCAAACCAATTTGTGCCTCTCTATACCGACCCCCAAGAAGTGCTGGACATGCGGAACAAGGTAAGGTGGGAGCTGCTTCTCTTGCCATCTCTTCCCACAAATATGAGCTGAGTTCCCAGGATGTACCTGTCTTATCAAAAACCCAGATTCCTCTTAGGGGAAAGAAACTACCATATACGGGCCATTCTCTAGCACTGTGCTAACGCTATACTTACGTGGTCCTAAATAACCCTCGTACATAAAGAAGTGCTTGCTTGTGACGTTAGATATGTCTAAGAAACCTGCCCATAAATTGAGTTTTTATGAATTTTATGCTATTTTCCTTTCAGCTTATTTTCAAAATTTCAAAATCCTTTATATTTCTCTCTCAACATTTGCTTTATAGTTCACTCACTCACATTTCTCATGTTACTTTAAAAACTTAGGTTGTAGTAGACCACCTCCAAAAGGTCAAGTATACTCACAGAACAGTGATTTAATGTATGGTTCAAGGACCTTCTGCAGTGCTGATTTAAAATGCAGATGCCCAGGTCAAATCCCTTGTTCCTCCCCAAGGAGAGACTCCGATTCAATGGCTGTGGGGTGGCCCCAAAAATCTGTGATAGTCAAGAAATTTCTCAGGGGCTTCAGTAAAATGTGAGGCCCTCCCTCAAGGATCTACTGTGCCTCGTTTCACTCTTCACCTCTTAGTTACCTCCTCAGAGTTAATGAGAATCCAATATTTTACATAAACTAATTCACTCTGAAGCACACATGGAGACTGTCTCTTAGAGGACACACTGTGTTAGAAATAGGGGAGGCAGGCCCCCGCCCCACTGGAGGACCTTTGTAGACCCTAGTCACAGGGCACACGAGACATCAGGATGCCCTCCAAGTGCCCCCTCCCAGACTCCATACCCTGATGCTCAACAGCTAGCTCACTCTCCCCTTCCCTTGCCACACAGATTCGAGAACAGAACCGACAAGACGTGAAGTCGGCAGGGCCTCAGTCCCAGCTCCTGGCGAGTGTCATCGCTGAGAAGAGTCGAAGCCCGGTACAGCAGAAGCTGCCCCTGTCTGGAGGGGAAACGTGTTTGCCTTCTGGGTCTTCAGTGCCTGGGGCTAGGCAGCAGGACCCCTGAGTCCTCGTGCCCACCGTCCCCTGTGATCTTGGGCACTGGTGCTCTTGCTGCAGGACGGATGCTGTGAGGACCAGGGACAGTGTGCAATTGCCCCCTGTGGGTACCGGGCGGGGGTGCAGCAGCCCAGCCTGCCCCAGGAGTGATGCTGACTTCCATGCTTCACCCATGGAACTCCACTCTGCCCTCTATTGCTATCCTGAAAAGTGGGCATCACAGGAGTGCGGCGGGCAGCTCCCAGCTGCTCCAGGCCTGCCTGCTCTGAGCACTTCTGGCCTCTGTGTGTGGATATGGCATCACCAGGCCGTAGCTCTGGGAAGATGCTCATGGGCTCGCAGAGGGGAGGCATGTATATAAGGACTGGTGCTCCATTCCGGCCGTTAGTTGCCCACACAAACCCACATAGAGTTACAAAGTATAAAGTTGTTTCCATGCCTGAGATAGGACAGTGTTTGTCTAGTGCTTAGCAAAAGGGATGAAAATCAGAATTCTGGCTTGTGTTGAAAATCACTGCTACTTATGGCAAGTAGCAACAGGCATGGCATATTCCTTAGCGTTAAGAAGGGGCGAGATACAGGAACTGTTCCTCTCTGCAGAGTGAACTGAGATCATTTAGATCAGGCTGCAGCCCACAAGGTGGGTGCCCGTGCAGGGAAGTATGAAGGTTATGTCATTGTACCACATTGTCACCCACCGCCAGTAGCCAGGATGAGGAACACCAAAAGTGCCACAGGGCCAAGAACAGAAATACCCCATGATCCTGGGGTGGGGGTGGCAGAAGTTCAGTACAGTGAGCAAAACTGTTAAAAACTCTGCCATTTATACCAAGTGTTCTCCTTGGAGTCCCTCTTCTTGGGATCCTGGTCTTGGATTCTCTTTTGAACACTGATTCCTTAAGATAGGCCAATGCTGCTTCTCTTTCAGAAGATGCCCATGGGCCCATCATCAGAGGATCTGGGGGGCCAGGAAAGGCGGCCTAGAGTGCGTGGTGTGGGCCAACTGCTCTGGGCTCACCTCCCCTGAGTTTCATGCTCTTTGTCTCCTCCTCAGCTTCAGAGCAGTGCATTCTCAAAGGTCAAGATGAGGATGCCAAATTAGGAAAAAGGGCTATGGGGTCTGAATTTTAGACTCTGTCATGGGCTAGAGGGGTCAAAGGATTTCTGAAGCTCACACAAGGTCCAGCTGGTGAGCTCCCCAGAGCCAGGGGCTCCACAAAGTCTCCCAGGGATTTTTGCCAATGTCCCCCAGGGACCTGCAGTACAGGCAGGTTGAAGATCCAAGATTCAGGACCTTGGCCCCTTGTAATTTATGACTATGTGCAAAACAGGACTAACAGTTTGGACTGAGAACGCTGAAGCCATTGTGTGTTTTGCATTTGACTTCCTGCTGTGTGCTGTGGCTTGTGCACCTGTTGGGGGTGGGAGGAGGGCATGGTGGGGAATGGCTGGCATAAAGCGGGCTTGAGCCAATGCTTTGCTTGCTGGCTTTTGGCTAACTGACTTTGGGCTGTTGACTGTATTTGCGTAGTGATGGCTTGCAAGCATCCACAGGAGGGGTTGCAATAAACGTATGTCTTCCTTCTGCTTGGGAGCATCCTTCGATTTTATTTCTGGGGCAGAGGGTGGACTCCCTGCATTTATCCAGGCAGTTGCAAAGAACCCAGGTCTGGGGGTGAGGTAGCCATGGGAAGGAATGAACAACCCCTACCCCAAGGCCCTGAGCTGTTTCCAAGGAGCTGCATGCCATGCTGTCCCTAGCAAGACCACTGGCAGCCACATGAGTCTGAAAGGAAGCTTGGGCCTGGGCCCCAGCTGCGGCATTCAGAGAGCAACACACACTCTGTGGTTAACTTTCAGTCTACAGAGAGCCAGCTGATGTCCAAGGGCAATGCAGATACCAAAGACGACTCAGAGGAGACCGTGCCCAACCCCTTCAGCCAACTCACTGACCAGGAGCTGGAGGAATACAAGAAGGAGGTGGAGAGGAAGAAACTAGAACTTGACGGTAAATAACCCCGGGTCGCCCAGGGTGAAGGGAGAGCTGGGGACACCCAGAGGGGCAGCAGAGCAACCAGCAAGACTCACTCCCGCCAGTGGCCCTGGGACCCACGCCCCCCCACCTGGCAGGGCCCTCAGGGCTCTGTCTAGCCTTGCCTCACCTTCATGTTCAGCCTTCACTTCTCTCTCTCCTCTGTCATATTCTCAGTTTGCCCTTCCTGCCCCATCAACCAAGTCACATTCTTACCAGCATAATGCTATTACTTACGTAATGGTCCTCATGGCTCAGTGCCTAATGGTGATGCCGTGCTGCCATGACCTTGTCTGAGCCTCTCACCTGGGTTTAAAAGAGTTAATCCTTATAGAGTGCTTAGAACAGGGCCTGTAAGTATGGCTTAGGTCAGATAAACATTAGCTGTGATAAGAGAATTATAATAGTGATAATTACTATTAATCTATCAGATCCAGTATAAACCTTTTAGCCTGGCAACGAAAACTCCCACCAGCTACCTCTGGTCTTTTCCTTATTCCTTTTTTATTTCAAAATCTTCAGTCAAGCCTATCTCTCCATGTTGACTCCCAGATATGCATATTCATGATAGCTTGTATGCTCTCATTCATGCCTTTGTCCCTTCCTGGCACGGTTTCCCTTCTAGGCTAGCCTGATCCGAGAACTTCCATCTCAAGCCCCCCTTCCAGCTAAAAAAGCCCTCTCTGTCCCTCTCCACCCCCCCTCCCCACTTTGAGCTGGCCCTTCTCTTTGTTTCAAGAGCACTTGGGGTCTGAGACACTGAAGAATTCAGCTCCTGGTTTTGTCCACCGGGCTAGGCTTTCATTCCCTCAGAGCAGGGTCGATATCATCCATGACCCCCCTCCCCCCCACCCAGAGTCAGCCATCTTCCTGGGCACAAGCAGGCCCTAGAAGAACCCTTGCTAGCTTGCTTGCAGTTCTAATGGGACAGTTGAAAAAGTAGATAGAAAATGTGGTGCTTTATATCCCTAGAGATATTTGGGCTGAACATGAAAATTAGATAAACAATAAATTAGCTACATGCAAACAAATCATGGGTGGGACGCCTGCAGTCTTGGGCTCCACATCAGGGCTAACATTCCACTGGCAGATGTGCCTGGATGGAGGAAACAGAATATGACTCTGACTCCTCCCATTTGCCTCCCCCCGGATGTAGCAGAAATTTAAAAAAGTTTCAGGGGAGCAGCTAACTTCAGCTAGGAGAAACGAGGACCAGCTGGAAGAAAGCATTTTTTTCTTTAATGTTCTCTCTCTGCCCACCTTTCCTCTGTTTGACCCCTATCCTGAGGTGGTTTTCTGTATTTTCAGGAGAGAAAGAAACCACTGCAGAGGAGCCTGGCTCACCTGTAAGGTCTGCACCAGCTTCTCCAGCACAGAGTCCAGCGAAGTCAGAGACAAAGAGCCCCACGGTCTCTCCCTCCAAGTCTTTAGACGGTGAGTGGAACTGAGCAGCTGGAAGGGAGGAGGCACCTCCACAGCTTAGAAAGGGGTCTGCATGGAAGGCAGGGCACATGGGAAAACTCCAGGGATCCTGCCTTTCAGCAGATCTTGCCTGCTACCCAAGAAGCTTTCTGTTCTGCCATTTCTAGGGAATCTGAAATAGGGGTTTGCAAATTTAAGCTTATTTCATCCACAAGCTGTGACAACACATCTTACAATTTAAGTCCCTGTCTAAGCAATAATGAGTAAGTTAATGATTGACGCACAGCCTTCTCACCTCTCATTCAGACTAGGTTGGCTGATGGGTCTTTCTAGATGCACCAGCCCAGTGCTCAGACTTTAATATGTGTAGGGATCGCTGGGATCTTGTTAAAATGAAGATTCTGATGCAGTAGGTCTGGGGCGGGACCTGAGACTGTATATTTCCAACAAGCTCTCAGGTAAGGCTGATGACGTTATTCTCAACCTTTGGAATCTCAATACATTGGAATTACCTGGGGAGCTTTAAAAATCCTAACACTGGCCTGGGTCCTACCACAGCATCCCCAGTGGTTCTCAGTTAAATGCTCTGGGATCGGGTAGAAAAGAGTACAGTGGAGTTTTAAGATCTCTCCAGGTAAATCTAATGTGTAGCCCAGGCTGAGAACCACTTCATTAGATACTAGTTTAGAGAACTAAGGTCTAGGCCCAATTCAACTGCTAACTAATAATAACTCAACTGCTAATTTTAGAAAATCAGATCATCTTTGTGCCTCAGTTTCCTTGTCTGTCAAATGGGACTACCAATATTTTCCCCTTTTAAGGTTCTTACACATAGAAGGGAAGCTGTAGATGAGAACATAAAGAATGAAATACAAAACATAAAAGAAATAAAAGAAAGAATAAAAACATTTAAATGTAAGATCTGGGGCACCTGGGTGGCTCAGATGGTTAAGCGTCTGCCTTCAGCTCAGGTCATGATCCCTGATTCTGGGATCGAGTCCCGCATCAGGCTCCCTACTCCTTGGGAGCCTGCTTCTCCCTCTGCCTCTCTCTCTCTCTCTCTCTGTCATGAATAAATAAATAACATCTTTAAAAAAAATAAATAAATGTAAGATCTGTTTGTGATTATAATTAATAATATACATATGGTGGATAATACTGCTATTATGGTCTATACCACCTACATCATAAAAGTGTCTTTATTGAGCTCCTGGAATCACCCTAGGGCATGAACACTCCTCCCCTGGGGCCCTGAGATTTTCCCTGTTCTGGAAAGAATGACCACATGTGTGGATGCTGCTAGAATCCTCCATCCTCTGAGCTCCCTCCGTAGGCAAATTGCTGCCTTGTGTGCAGTCCCAGTGTTGCCAGAGGAAACCCATCTGCTTGTGGCCAGAGCTCCAAGTGGATGTCCCCTAACTGTTTGTGTTCATTGTGTCTTATCCTGGTGTTATCAACCTGTCTCCACAATGTCTTCCTTTCTCTTCCCATTTGTGCCTTCATCAAAGGAGTTTCCTCCGATTCTGAATACTTGTCTCTGTAGTAAGTATAGAGAGGCTGTTTACTAACTCCCTCCAACACTTGCAATGGGGGAGGGAGGACTTCTTCAAAAAGAAATGTGTTTCTCCCCAGCTTTTTCTTTGGCAACCCTGACTTGGGGAGGATTCCTGGCTATAAAGTTCATGACCAACTCCACATGTGCTATGCATGGGCTAGGCTTCCCTCTAGGATATACACACATAGGATGGACTCATGCACACACACACACACTCATCCTCACATGGGGCATACCACCCAGAAGCAGCAAGTCTGCACAGTGAAAGGACAGTGGGGCCAGCTCCTGGGCACTCCCTGTGGGGGAATGCTTATGGCCCTCACTAGCACATCTGCACCTCTGTTCCTAATGGCCCCTCCAAGGAGCCCATGACCTCTTCTAGGGCTGGGGCCCAGAGCTTGAATGGCCCTAGGATCAACTGCCTTATAGAGATGCCTAGAGCACCTGACCTGACCATGTCTTCAGCATCCCTCAGGGCAGGCACACCAGCCACAGGAGAGAAATCCAAGCTGGAGAGGCAGCTTATGGCAGCAGTGGGACAAGGGGTAGTAATTGCATTTCAGCTCCTGGGAGCCCCTTGGAGCAACCTCTGCTGTTCAGAGGGACAGAGAGTGGAAGGAGGGGTGTATGACAGGTAGGATAACTGCTTACCCACCCCTGACATCATTGCCACTGGTAGCATGATTTCTGCCCAATCTGGTCCAAATCTGTGCCCTCATGGAGGAGCACACCTGGTTGAATTGTTAGAAAAATCAAGATCCTCCCTGAAGACTCTTCTTGTAGTTTAGACAGAGCTGAGCCTGCATGATGAGGCCAGAGTTGTAGCTGCCTTGGGTGACCAGTGTGGAGCAGGGCAGGGTGGCCATGGCCACGCTACCCGATGGCTTGCCCAGCTCCTCAGGGCAGACAGAGCTGACCCTCCCACGCCCATCAACATGTGCATTTTCACATGTAGCTCACCCACTGAATCAGGGCTGGCTTTTCACTGTGTGTCACCATGCTCTCAAATGCTCTGGTGTGGGGTCACCTCCATGTCCCTCCTCATCTGTCTCCTACCCCATCAGCCTCCCTGAAGGAGACACTTTCAAACCCTCTTCCTCCACATCTGGTCATCTCTGTCATCGCCTTCTCTTTGACAAGCTCCTGATCCCTGCCCCTGCTGACTCCATCCCCCAGTAACCTCTCAGGAGCACTGGCTGTGCCTGCCAAGAAATAGCCCTGCATTCAGCATCAGAAGATCATTGCTGTCACTTACTGATTTCGCCATCTCAAATAAGTCACTTAAAAAACCCTGCAGAATGGGGGGCTGCCTAACATGAATCCTTGCCCTATCCTAAGTCATAGCATTGTTATTGGGATAAAATGAGCAAATGAATACAAAAGGGCCTTGTGCTTCCATCTATTAGTTCTCGTTATGTACTATGTTCTTGGGATTGTGAGAGAGAATACAGGCTTGCTGTTTTAAGCCACTAAACTTGGGGGTGGAGGTTGTTATGCAGCAGTAGATAATTATTAAATCATGGTGTATAATAAGAGCTGGTTTTATGGAAATTAGTTTTTCTGTGGGTTGACTAGCCTCAGCTGGATGGTTCTGTTCCATTCAAGTCAGCTGCAGCTGCAGTCATCTGGGAGCTTGACTAAACTGGGACTTCCAAGATGGCGCTCTTATGTCAGGTGCCTTGGCAGGGACAGCTGGAAGGCTGGGGTCAGCTGGGACACTGGGATGGCTGGGTCTCTGTCTCTGTCTATGTGGTTGTAGGGCCTCTCCATGTATGTTTCCATCAAGGTAGTCAGACTTCATTACATAGTGGCTCAGGGCTCCCCAAACTCTGAAAGCAGGAACTTCTAGGCCTTCTTAAGTCTTCAGCCTAAGGCTGGCTCGGTGGCAGTTTCTCATCATTCTGTTGGTTACTGTGAACCACGGGGCCAGACCAGATTCATTGTGGGAGGGGACCACACCCAACTATGTCCTCTTAAAAAAAAGGTAAATGACACATGAAAGTGTAAAATGGATATATTGGCAATAGATTTAGAGAAGGGCAAGATCATTGTCAAATGTCAGGAGAGGCTTGAGCCATACCAGAGAGTTGATGAGGCCAACTAGCAGGTGATGTGAGGAGAGGAGAATGGACAGAAAGAAGGTTGTGTTTAGACGAGTGTATTGATTTCAAGACTATTGCCAGGTGATGACCATGGGGACACATGGTGGGAGGGGAGGGGAGTGTGGGCCATTGGAGTAAAGGGCATTAGAGAACTTAGTAGCTGGATGATGATAGGACATGGGCCAAGCAGTAGAAGGATGGGAGCTGGGGTCAAGGTGTTGGGTACTAAAAGAGAGACAGTCCTCAAGAGTCGTCTGGAAGAGGACATTGACTTGCCCAGAGAATTTCAGAAGTTAGGAAAGACCAGAGTTTGCCCATAGTCAAACTAGCCCATTCTAACTCTCCCCAGATTTACACCCCTCTGTCCCATGTTCCATGTAACCATACATTTCTCCAGTCTTTACCCCTGTCAAGAACCCTAGTTTTTTCCTAAAACTTCTTTCCCTGCCCATTCCATCTGTAAGTCAGACCAGTCATACTTCACCCATTACTCACATTCCTATAGAGGGGAGCATGCCCAGTGCCTTCTTGTGGTGTGAGATCTCACACAACTCACACAACTCACTCACACACACCAACACTCACACACCACACCCACACACTAATTCACAAATTCATATGACCACACACAAACTCAACACAACTCATACACTCCACCCACACACTCATACACCACACTCCCATGCTTATTCACACAGCTCACTCCACATTGACACACTTACAAATTCACGCATACAAACATGTTCTCATACATTCACACACTCCTCTCAGTTTCACATAGTGAAAAGAACAAAAAACTGGATGTCAGGAGATTGAGATCTGCTCACTTTCACTACTTAGTTTTCATTTCTGTAAAATGGGGAGGAGCTGAGCTAGATGATCTGTAAATTCCTTTCTACTTTTCAGAGTCTGTGGTTTTATAATTTCCCCTCCTCCCTCCCCATCCAGGCATTTCAAAGCTTGAGTGGAAGCGAGGTGGGGAGAGAGTGGGAAGGAGGAAAAAGGGCAGTAGGGGGGCTTAGTTTCTGGTCTGAGCAGCTGTGGCTTTGAACATGGCAGCAATCCAAACAGGTTCCCTCCAGGTGACCACTAGAATGGGCCAACAAGCCATCTTCCCCTTTGGTTAATCCTTTTATCTTGGAAACATGGGGTCCATATCACTCAAGGAATTCCATTCTCCCTCTGTCTTCCCCTCTCTGCCTACTGGGGAGATATTCCCCATTTTTCCAAAAGTTCCTCTCTGGTATAGGAAATGAAATGGGTATAAAAACATGTAATTTCCATGTTAACTAACTGGAGTTTAAATAAAAGTTTTAAAAAACTTTAATTTCCATATTTTTACTGGTGAAACTGAACCGGTTACAACAGTTCTTAGATTCTTCCACTGAGTTGTATGTGTTACTGGTCTCCTCCTTCCTATAGCCTCTCTCCTCACCTGGGTCTGTCCCCTCATTTAGTCCTACAAAAGCTCTCAACTGGGCCCTAGCTGGGCCCCCTGCCACGTTTGGACATCATTACCTGTTTACATTTGTAGACAAGACCCCAGAGTAACAGACTTGCCAAGGGCCTGTTCCCAGAGCAGGCTGTGTGAAAGGGGGTACAGGGTTTGGGTGAGAACCCTGCCTAACCGTTTCCCCCTACGATGTCAGCCTGTCCCTCCTGTTGCTCTAGGTTTCTTTTATAGAATTGCCTAGAAATGGTTCTGTTAACCCCATATGGAAACTTTCACCTGATGGAAATCTTAAGGGTCATATCTCTTGATCTTTTTCTAGAAGGTGCTAAGAAGACAGAAACAAGCAAAGCCACCACAGAGCCTGAAACAACACAGCCAGAAGGAGTGGTGGTCAACGGGAGGGAGGACGAGCAGACCACAGAGGAAATTCTCAGCAAAGGCTTGAGCCAGATGACCACCAACGCCGACACGGATGTTGATACCTCTAAGGACAAAACCGAGTCGGTCACCAGCGGCCCCATGTCCCCAGAGGGCTCACCTTCCAAGTCTCCCTCCAAAAAGAAGAAGAAATTCAGAACCCCATCCTTCCTGAAAAAGAGCAAAAAGAAGGAGAAAGTGGAGTCCTGATTGGTAGCACCCTTGGGCTCCCATCTGCACCCTCTCCCTCCACCCCTTCCCTTCTCCCATCTCTGTCCCTGGAAGCACAGGGCCAAAGAGGGATAGAATAGGACCCTGGATCACACTCTGAGGGGGAACTTAGAGATTACCCAACCAACCCCTCATTTTACAATTGCCCCAGAGAAATCAGGTGACTTTCCCAAGGTCACACAGCTAGTTAGTGGCAGAGCCTGCACTAGAATTGGGGTCTCCTGGCCCCTAGTCCAGTGCTCTTTCCACTACATAACACTGCCTAGTTGTGGGCCACCTTTGTGAGGGTGCTGTCCACCGATCTGAGTCCAGGGCAGAAGGCCTGAGTGGGCTGCAAGCCCTCACAATCTCAGATCAAATCAGACAGGTTCAGACTTCCCCTGAGCAAGGTCCTTTTCCTTGCAGGAATCCAATCTCCTGCTAATGGAGCTGTCACAGTTTAGAAATCTCTCTTTTCCATAGGGTCCCCGCCCTGCTGCTCTCAGTAACCAGATAAATTGCCCTGTCCCCTACACCAGAAGTTTATCTTTGTTCCCAAGGTCTGATGGCTTAGCTTGTGCTTCCCCAACCACTAACCCTGAGCTTTCTTCATGGAACCTCCTGAATGACGGATGGATGAAGAATTGTAAGAGCGGGCAGACATAAGGGCAAGCCGAGTCAGCCACAGGATTGGGAATCATTTAATCAATATAAGAAGCCAGGAACTTGGCCCATTTGAATTGTGCATCTCAGGCGCTTCAAAACTAAAACCAAATTTAGCTTAGAGAAAAGTTGTCTCATGCTCAGGGCAGAAATTCGGGGAAATTTAGATCCTCTGTAGGCTTTGGGTTGTACAAGGAGGATCAAAACAACACAGGAAATGCTATGCCTTTCTAGCTTTGCATGATACATGGAGCAATGTGGCTGTACCCATTTCACTCCTATGTGGCGGTCAGGTGTCCCCTGACCTTCCTTCAGACCTGGAAGCACTGGCTCACAGACTGGAACTGGCATCTTATTCTTGGCACCTTGACCTTGGCTCCTTTGGATTCCGACTCAGTCACTCTGGGTCCAGCAGAGGAGAATGAGATGAGCCCTTGAGATTCATTCCTTGGATCAGCTATCAGAAAAATCAGCTTGAGTGTCCTTGCCCCGCCACTATCTGTCCACCTTGGGGCCTAGTAAGAGCCACAGCTGCTGTTGTAAATGCCAGCACTATCTTTTCATATTCTTCCACGGGACATCGAATAATGAGCATTGTTGGCTCCTAAAAAATAGACAATCCATTCTCTTTATAGCACAGTGTCTTCAAAGAGTATTTTTCCTTTTTGTCCTGATTATTGTGAAAGTACTTTTGAAAGTTCTTAATCACAGTTTTCCACTTTTGAGCACTTACTTTCTATATATAGACACTGTGCAGGCTTTCCATGTGTTACACCCTTTGACTGTCATGATAATCTTGTGATGTGGGTAAGATATTCCCATTTTATCGGTAAGAAAACTGAGCCCCAAAAGGACAATCGACTTGCTCCAGATGACTTGGCTAGAAAGATCCAGAGCCTGGATTTGACCCCTGAGTCAGAGTCCAGAGCCTTTGTTCTTAACAGTTACGATGATTAGAAAACTTGAAATCCCCAAGGCTGGGGGCTAATTTAGTCCAGGACCCATTTCTGTGATTGGTCTCCACTGTGTAATGTCAGCATTTGAAATGAAGGCAGGAAACTACCTGTGTTCTCCCTCATGAGTGCACGTTAAGCTCCTGATAAATGTGGATTGTGGCGAGGCCAATGTGGACCTCTGACGAAGGAGAGGCAGGAGCCTTCTGGGTTAGGCCACAGTATTTGGGGGGCGGGGCTATTTCTTGAGAAGAAAAGAAGCTGACACATGACTAAAGAGAGCCCAGTACTGCATCTCTCTAGAGCAGATTCCTAACTGCTACCCCAGCCCCCACTCTGCTCTACTTTCTGATGGGCCTTGTGATGGGCAACCCAATGGTCAGGGGCATCCAATGCCTCACAAAAAGTCCATGTTGTGGGAAATGCCTTTAAGAGCCAATCCTTTGATGCCTTCTTTGAAAAAATAGATTTCACATTCATTCCTTCATCCCTCACAATATTTGTTAAGCACCCACAAAGCACCAGGCATTATGTCGTCATTAAAAGAAACCACTCATTGTGGCTAGGATCATCAACAGCCAACAATGTTAAGAGAAGAGTGGAGTGGATTACCATTGACGCAGCTTTTTATGCTTGAGTGGTTGTAGCTCAGAGATGATGTTGATTGACTCTTCGCATTCAACAAACTCTCTTTATTCCCTTTACAACAGTGAGGCCTCATTTAGGTGAAAATGCCAGAGTCTTGCTGGAGGATCATCCTTGGGATTTATGCCATGGGTCCACCTTATATTTATCCATTTGTTCATCCTCATGCATTCGAACAAAACAACCACAACAAAAAACCCCATGAGCTTGGGTCATGGGTCAAGTCTGAAGGCAGAACATAGTCCCTGCCCACAGAAGTTTTTAAGTATAGGAGGCTTGTAGACGAGTTACGGAAAGGGCAAGGGGGCAGAGGGGACATAAGGAAGTAATGATTTATTGTCTTCTGGACCAGAGAAACTTTCCTGAAAGATGTGATGATTGAGTTAGGTTTTCAGACAAAGAGGAATTCTCCAGGAAGACAAGTGTCGGTGGGATATTCGTGCTGAGGGAAGAGCGTGTGCAAAGGCACGGAAGCACAAAACTCCACAACAGGCCCACTGAGTCATGCAGAAACGCCAGAACATAACGTGTAAGGGGGGCAGGGGCTTTGTTTCATAGGTGAGCAGGGCTGGGTCAGAGAGAAACCTATAGAAGTGTGCAACTAGATTTTATCCTGAAGGGGGTTTGGACCTGCTGATGGCTTACATCAGGGTGTCATGATCAAGCTTGAATTTTACAAAAATCCATTTGGTGGCTGGAGAATGACCTGGAGAGGAGTACGGTGAAAGCCCAGGAGATCTCCTAATGAGGCCCTTCTGAAATGTCAGCACTGAAACATGCCTGGTGGCCTGCCTTACACCACGTTTTCCTTAGAGCAAATAGCATGCTTCCGGCACAGAATTTGGCTTCCCTAACGGTCTTTGGATAAGGCATCTTAGGAAAGATTTTCAACAAGGAGAGGGAAGCATTCAGAGAGCTAATGCTTGGTGCCGTTTCCAGGTCTGTTTCATCTCGCTGCAGAACCGCTGCGGGAGCTGAGGCCCTGTGCCCATTTCTTGCTCTCCCATACCTGTCGGCAGTGGTACGCTTAGCACCAGGTTCAAGGTGGTGCACGTGCTGTCCAAAAAAACCATAGGCTTTTAGGGAGAGGATGGGGCATTTTCTTTGGATCTGGATAAAAGTTGGCTGAGAATTTTGACCAGTGTCTGTCTGGAGAAAATGTCTCTATGGAGAGCTCAGAGTGGTAGGTAGGAGGGTCATTTCTAGTGAAGCCGCTGTACTTGGATATGCCGCAGAAAGGGATGAGAACATGTGAGCCAGTCTGCAGTGTGACGGATGGCTGAGCTGGGCAGGGGGGCCGTTTGGAGGCTCTTTCCATGGGGCGGGATGGGAGGCAGAAGGAGAGACAGTTACAGAGGGACAACTTGGTTCCAGTGACTTTCCGTGCACTAGTGGCTGGCACCCAGAAGTGATGTGGGAGAACCGTCCACACCATGTGACCTTTCTCAAACTTTGCAAAAACCTTTGTCAAGGGCAAGCCTCTAGCACAGATCTGTGCTCCATGAGAGCTTCCTGGCCTGTAGTGACCCAAGTAACTGTCCAACTTCGGCCAGGTTACACACAGATAAAAATAACCTCCCCCAAGGGGCGCCTGGGTGGCGCAGTCGGTTAAGCATCTGACTCTTGGTTTCGGCTCACGTCACGATCTCAGGGTTCTGGATTGGGTTCCACGCTCAGCGCAGAGTCGGCTTGAGATTCTCTCTTCCTCTCCCTCTGCCCCTCCCACTTGTGCTCTCTCTCTCTCAAATAAATAAATCTTTTAAAAAGATAGTTTCCCTCAGCAGTCCTGTAATGAAAATGGGGTTCTTCCTCTGCAGATAGAAAAGTTCTTTTTAAGGGATTTGCAGGGATTTGGATGAGGACCCTGGTCTATAAGAACCCCACTGGAAAGCATTGCTCTCATACTATGGATTTGTGTATACTGCCTTGAATCTTCTCCCAGCGTCTGATGCACTGAATGTGGCAAGGCAGCCATTCAGATGTCATTTAGCACTGTCATAACAGGTCTATCACTGTCCTTAACAGGCCACTTCTCTGATTACCATGGATTTGAAAGAACCGTTCCCCCAACAGCATGATTCCCTTCTGAAAGCCGAAAAGATCAAAAAGAAGTTTGGATTTTTCGAGGGACATATGCATAGGGGTAGATAGACACATAGCCTACCATCGGCCTGTGGAGGCCATCTTTTGCACAAGTCCTTACTCCTTTTCCTTATGCAGGTCAGCAGAAGCCCTTGAAGTGGTTGCTAGAGCTGCTGTTGACTCTCTGAGCGTAGAGGCAACAGGTCTTATATCTTCTCTTACCACTTGAGTCTAAGCAAACTCAAAGACAATAACGTTGAGAGGGTCTGAGAAGAAATTAGGGAGGAGGTAAACCCATGCTCTCCAATTCCCACAGAAAGGACAAGGCACCCCACAGTTGTTCCCCATCTGTTCCAAAAGGGACAATTGAATATGAAAAGCCAGAGGCCTGAACAGACTCTGAAGAAATACGCTCATCAGTTATTTATCTGTTGCAGTTTCACTTGTGTCTCAGTATAAGAATGCAGACACGGTAGAGTGATGACTTCCCAATGCCCTGTCTAGCCAACCTACCCACTTGGATGTGGCTTACTTTTTGCCAGAAATAAAAGAGCACACGTGAAGCCCCATAACCAGGGCACATTCAACCCTCTTGAGCCTCTCGCCGTGAGAAGCCACCCTCACCCAGGAATCAATGTGGGCATTTCAGGTGGGGTGTCCTTCTTTAGTGGAGAAATCTTCTTTCCTCATTTTATGTAGATAGGCTTCTCTTTTTAGGAACAATTAGAATCTCCAGTTGAGGGTTTTCTTAAAAATACAGAAGTGATGGTTTGTATTGGTTTGTACTTGGGTTTTGCCAAATCGGTGTTTGGTGCCCTTTGCCTTCAAGATGACCCCAAAAGTTGGGTCATCGCTATGAGGAATTGGGCCTGAAGATGGAGGAGAAATGGTTATAGTCACTGACACAGGGGATGCAGTTGTGGCCAGAGGCCGAGCCTCCCTAGCTTTCCTGGTGTGGTGGCTCCTCAGCTCTCTTCCCACCCACTGGTTCCCGAGGAGCAGGATGAGGCCATCTGCAATGTGGCAAGTCCCCAACCTTTAAGTAGCTTAGAGAAAATGTGGGGCTTTGGGGTGGTGGGAGAAGAACTGTAGAAAACTCCCAAACTCTTCTCCCCTCCAACAGATCATCTCATACAACTTTTAGATCTTCCCTTTTTAAATGAATCAGAAGGAGGAAGACCGTTGGCCAAGGACGGAGGGGCCAATTTAAATACATCAAAGCTCTTATAAAATGAGACTATATTTTGGGGATCCCTGCCCCCACACTTCAGGCCCACCTTGTGCCTATTGGGCCTGCCTTCTGGGTGACAGCTTGATCTCCGTGGTCTAGTCCACTTTTAAATTCCTGCCATCCATGCTCCAGCCGCCAAGTCTGGCGCTGTGTTCCTCCCTCTCCCAGGAAGACTCGCGTGGGGAGAGGGTCCGAGGCCTGGGCTCACCTGGTTGGGTATGCAGGGGTCTAGATAGAGAGTGCCGTGTCCTCTAAAGCCGTGGATGGTTTCAGTGAAATGTCCGTGTCTGACAATCGTCTTCCCTTGTACATGCATTGTCTGTGTATAGCTTTTCCTAGTATTGTGAAGTCTCAAATAGGGGTTCCATGTAAATACTCTTTCTGCTACGGAAATGCCAGCCCCCTGGATCATGCATCATCCCCACAAACGGTTTTGCCTTTCTCTACGCTAACACTTTTTGAGCCACTGATGTGCAGATTGATGATTAGTTTCTTGGGCTTTTATTTTGCAAATTTATATATATATATATATATACACACACATATATAATATATATATATTTATGGGTTGGTTTTGTATAGTTTTCTGTTTGAATCTCTGAGCACCAAAGCTGCCCTTGGATTTTCAAGAGAACTTTCCAAAGCCACTTCCTGAGGCCCCCCACTCCCCTGCTGCTTTGGTGTTTGTGGTGCCGGGTGGTATCTCTGCCCGTGGATTTCTGTATGTATGTGCTGTTATCTCCCCTGCGGATATTACCCTAGTAAATCTACCGTGCTTGGCTTCCTGGTGTGTGACCCATCTCTGTCGGCCACCCAGCTCTCCCTGCTCCCAGGGGAGCAGAAGCCAGAGAGGGGGGTCCTTGTATGGAAACCTCCAACCACACAGGAAACTCTTACCTTTGAAACCATTCCTCACACATGGAAAGCTAACATATGACTAATTGAGTTCTGATGGGGAGGGAGGTGACAGAATGCTGTAGACCTCTGAGAAGGGAAAAGCCCAGCTCATGGAGGGAGAGCAGTTTAGATGGGTTGGGGGAGGGGAGGGGGATTGCAAAAACAAATGTGGATGGTCCCCATGGGGAAGCAGATTCACCGGCTGGACTGGAAGGAGGTGTCAGGCCAGAATCAGCAGGCTGGGGAGAGCTAAGAGGTCCCGCCAGAGCG